TGTGTGGGGTACAGAGATGAGGTAGTCATTAAAAAATCATGTTAACCACTGTTATTGCACACAGAGTGAGTCCATGCAACTTATTATGTGACTTGTTAAGCAAATTTGACTCCTGAACTTTTATAGGCTTGCCATAACAAAGGGGTTGAATATTTATTGACTGAAGACATTTCAGCATTTAATTTTTTATTAATTTGTAAAGATTTCTAAAAACATAATTCCACTTCGACATTATGTGGTATTGTGTGTAGGCCAGTGACACAAAATCTCAATGTAATCCATTTTAAATTCAGGTTGTAACACAACAAAATGTGGAAAAAGTAAAGGGGTGTGAGTACTTTCTGAGGCACTCTATGCCATTTAGCAGACGCTTTTATTCAAAGCGACTTACAGTCCATCCATTCATCCATCCATTCATCCATCCTTCTCTCTTCCTGTGCATAACAGACCATCTGAAAGCCAGAGGCGGGAACTCCACCTCTTTCTCTCCTCTATCCCTCTCTCCTCTGTATTTATTTTCTTTATCCATCTTCTAATCCCTCTCTCCTTCCCTCTCTCCAGTGTATAACCGACCAGTTGAGATGCTCTCTCTCTCTCTCCTCCCCTCATCCCTCTATTTCTCCTCCCCTCATCCCTCTCTCTCCTCCCCTCATCCCTCTCCTCCCCTCCTCTCTCTCCTCCCCTCATCACTCATCCCTCTCCCCTCATTCCTCATCCATCGCCTCATTCCTCTCCTCCCCTCATTCCTCTCCTCCCCTCATCCCTCATCTCCCCTCATCCCTCTCCTCCCCTCATCCCTCATCCCTCTCCTCCCCTCATCCCTCATCCCTCTCCTCAACCTCATCCCTCATCCCTCTCCTCCCATCATCCCTCTCCTCCCCTCATCCCTCTCCTCCTCCTCCCCTCATCCCTCTCTCTCCTCCCCTCATCCCTCTCTCTCCTCCCCTCATCCCCCCCTCTCCTCCCCTCATCCCTCTCTCTTCTCCTCCCCCCTCATCCCTCTCTCTCCTCCCCTCATCCCTCACCCCTCTCCTCCCCTCATCCCTCATCCCTCTCCTCCCCTCATCCCTCTACTCTACATCTCCCCTCCCTCACCCTCTACTCTCCCCTCATCCCTCTCTCTCCCTCCCCTCATCCCTCATCCCTCTCTCCCCCTCAATCCCCATCCCCTCTCTCCCCTCATCCCTCATTCCTCTCCTCCCCTCATCCCTCTCCTCCCCTCATCCCTCTCTCTCCTCCCCTCATCCCTCATCCCTCTCCTCCCCTCATCCCTCTCCTCCCCTCCCTCCCCTCCTCCCCTCATCACTCATCCCCTCCTCCCTCCCCTCATTCCTCATCCCTCCCTCATTCTCTCCCTCCCCTCATTCCTCTCCTCCCCTCTCCCTCTCCCCCCCCCTCACACTCCCTCTCTCCTCCGCCTCATCCCTCGCTCTCCTCCCCTCTCCCTCATCCCTCCTCCTCCCCTCATCCCTCTCCCTCTCCTCCCCTCATCCCCCCTCCCTCTCCTCCCCTCATCCCTCTCCTCCCCTCATCCCTCTCCTCTCCGCCTCACCCTCATCCCCTCCTCCCCCCACCCCCCTCCCCTCATCCCTCCCTCCCCCCCTCACCCCTCCTCCCCACTCCTCCCGCTCCTCCCCTCTCCTCTCCTCCCCCCATCACTCCTCCCCTCAGCCCTCCTCCTCATCCCCTCCTCCCTCATCCCCTCCTCCCCCTCATTCCCCCTCTCTCCGCCCCCATCCCTCTCTCTCCTCCCCTCCTCCCTCTCCTCCTCCCCTCATCCCTCCTCCCTCTCCTCTCCCTGCCTCCCATCATCCCTCCTCCTCCCCTCATCCTCTCCTCCTCCCACTCATCCCTCTCCCTCCCCTCATCCCTCATCCCTCTCCCTCCCCTCAGTCCTCTCCTCCCCTCATTCCTCCCTCCCCCCCTCCCTCTCTGCTCCTCCACCATCTCTCTCCTCCCCTCTCCCTCTCCTCCACCCCGACCTCTCTCCTCCCTCATCCCTCTCCTCCCCTCATCCCTCTCTCTCCTCCGCCTATCCTCTCCTCCCCTCATATCCTCTCCTCCCGTCCTTCCTCTCCTCTCCCTCCTCCCTCTCCTCCCCTTATCCCGACTCCTCCCCTCATCCCTCATCCCTCCCTCCCCTCATCCCTCTCCCACCCTCGAAGTCCCTCTCATCTCCTCCCCTCATCCCCCCCAGATCGTCCTCCCCTCATCCCTCATCGTCCTCTCCCCTCATCCCTCTCTCTTCCTCCCCTCACCTGACCCTCTCATCTCCTCCCCTCCTCTCTCTCTCTCCTCCCCTCATTAATCTATCTCCTCCCCTCATCCCTCTATCTCCTCCCCTCATCCCTCTCCCTCTCCTCCCCTCATCCCTCTCCTCTCCTCCCCTCAACCCTCTTCTCCCTCTGTCTCTCCATCTGTCTCCTTCCCTCTTCCCTCATGTCTCCAGTGTATTACAGACCAGTTGAGATCCAGAGGTATAAACTCCTCCACCTCCCTGCCAGACGACGTCTTGAACTTTGTGAGGAGACACCCTCTGATGTCCCAGCAGGTCATGTCTACAGAGCAGCGCCCCCTGTTGTTCAGGAGAACCACAGACTACACCCAGCTGGTGGCTCACAGGGTGGAGGGTCTAGACGGGCAGAACTACCATTTACTGCTCATGGGCACAGGTTGGTGTGGGTGGGTGGGGGGTTGTGGTGGGGTATGAGGGGGTGTCTCAGGGGGTGGCTGTGCATGCGTTATGCTGTGTGTTTGCATACATGGGATTAGTTTTTGTGGCACTAGGCAGTCATTTATTTCTAGCACCAATCATCCCAGTAAAGGAATGGAACAGACTTCAAACCACATGTACAGTACATCCCATTGTGTGTGTGTGTGTTTGTGTGTGTGTGTGTGTTGTGACCCTGTCTCTGTCTCCTGTTCCAGACGATGGCTGGCTGCACAGAGCTGTAGAGGTCAAGGGTCATCTACACATCATAGAGGAGCTACAGCTGTTTGACCAACCACAGCCTGTGGATAGCCTGGTCATCTCACACACACAGGTACACACTCACAAACGGACATGCAGGCACATACGCATGCACGTAGGGACACATACACACCCACCCACTCTCTCTCTCTCTCTCTCTCTCTCTCACACACAAACAGGTAATATCAAGGTTTGTTTTGTTTAGTGATCTTGTAACTCAAGGATATTTTCAATAACAAAGGCCTCATTACACTCTCCCTCCCTCCCTCCCTCTCTCCCCCCTCTAGTTGAATGTGTATGTAGGTTCTCCCTCTGGCGTAGTCCAGCTACCTCTCTCCACCTGTAGCAGGTACACTTCCTGTTACGACTGTATCTTCTCCCGGGACCCTTACTGTGGCTGGGACGGACAGGACTGTGTGGACATCACAGCACAGACTGACAGGTGAGAGTGTGTGTGGGTGTGGGTGTTAGGGGGGTGTGGGGGGAAATAATGCAGTGTGTGTGTGTGTGTGTGTGTGTGTGCACTTGATAACAGGCTAACAGTGTCTCCTCCTCTCCTCAGGTCTAACCTGACCCAGGACGTCCTGTATGGGAACAGAGGATGTGACAATGGTACACGGACGGACGGATGGACAGACGGACGGACGGACGGACGGATGGACGGACGGACGGACGGACGGACGGACGGACGGACAGACGGACAGACGGACAGACGGACAGACGGACAGACAGACAGACAGACAGACAGACAGACAGACAGACAGACAGACAGACAGACACACACACACACACACACACACACACACACACACACACACAGACAGGCCTTATATGACCACACTTTGTTTTATTATACTGCAGATTTATTTAACAATCAATCAATCAAATGTATTTTTTTTTACATTTGGTTGATTACATTTGACTTTTTACATTAGCAGTTGTGTCACAAAGTGCTTATACAGAAACCCAGCCTAAAACCCCAAAGAGCAAGCAATGCAGATGCAGAAGCACAGTGGCTAGGAAAAACTCCTTACCTGGAAAGTTGAGGGACTTACAGCAATGATAAGAGTTGCGTTAGGACTAGACACTGGTCTCACTATAGTAGTAATGTAGTAGGGTTTTATATGGCTAGCAAGGACCCAAAAGGTAATGTCAAGATTACATTGTCTATAGTTTAGTCAAGTCCTTCCCACCTTGAGGATAAATTAGGATGGTTTCAAGGTGATTCTGCACACTGAATGATGAAATGAAATCCAAGGTTAGAATATGCAGAAATACCATCAAATTGTTTGAAGAAATGTTTAGAGGTTGATTATGCATAGTGTGTCTGCAGCATCCTCATTTCCATTGCAACTATAATCACATTTTCTTCACACATACTTTACATACTAAGAAGTTAGATTTTTTGTTGTTGTTGCATATTCTGATTAAAATGCATTTATTTTCATATGGGAGAATGTAACATATTGGATTCTTCATGCACCAATGATTTTAGAGTCATATATGCAATCAAACAAAAGTTGTATAGAAGTTGACTATAACTCCCAAACACAGTTCAATGGTCTGTGGCAGTGGTTCTCAACTGGTTTTGCCTCAGGACCCAGATTGAACCAGGTTGTCTCAGTCACAACCCAATATTTGCATCGCAAAAAAGAATCAGCAAAATACAATCTGAGGTCCATAACAGTATATCAGTCTTATTAACTGTTCTGAGGTCCATAACAGTATATCAGTCTTATTAACTGTTCTGAGGTCCATAACAGTATATCAGTCTTATTAACTGTTCTGAGGTCCATAACAGTATATCAGTCTTATTAACTGTTCTGAGGTCCATAACAGTATATCAGTCTTATTAACTGTTCTGAGGTCCATAACAGTATATCAGTCTTATTAACTGTTCTGAGGTCCATAACAGTATATCAGCCTACTGAACTGTTCTGAGGTCTATAACAGTATATCAGTCTTATTAACTGTTCTGAGGTCTATAACAGTATATCACAGTCTTATTGTGAGAGGATACTCATTTTGTATGTGGGTTGCCATTCTTTCAGAGCCGATCCAGCACCGGAGCCGGTCTGTAATGGTGGGAGATGACATGCTGCTCCAGTGTGAACTCAGCTCCAACCTGGCAACCCCAGTGTGGACTCTGGACGGGTCAGACCTGCAGGGCTACGGCCTGGACTCTGGCTTCAGGGTGGGCACCGATGGCCTCCTGGTCATCGAGTCCCGACCAGAGCAGAGCGGGGAGTATACCTGCCACGCCCTGGAGAACAGCGTCCGGGTCGCAGTGGTTACGTACTCTGTGACGGTTCGTCTAGACATGCCACACCCCCCTCCCCCACACGTCGACCCATCCCAAGACTTCTCCTACTACACCACCTGGGACTCGGACACTTCCACCCCTCCCCCCCCTCCTCCACCCAGCGCACCCCCCTCCTCTGAGAGGCCCCTGCTACACCCTCCCCCAGCCCCTCTTCCCCCCACCTCAGAGCTGCCACCCCCTCCCCCGGACCCTCTCCCCCCCACCTCGGAGCTGCTCTCCCCCAGGAGCATGGAGGCTATGTACCTGTCCCTGATCACCATCCTGGGAGGTCTGTGTCTGGTTCTCACTGTTGTCCTCCTCTACGTGGGCTTCTGTCTGCAGGGCAACCACAGGGGGAAGTACTCTCTCCGTGCTGCCGCCGCCACCGCTGCCTCTGCCAATCACATGGACAGGAAGAGGAAACACAGGAAGCAGCAGCAGAAACGCCACAGTAGCTCCGCCCACCTGGATCTCAAGACCATCTCCAGCCACTGTAATGGGAACGGGATCTGTAATGGTAACGGCATCTCCAAACAACCGGGGGACGGTGACACGCACGAAGGGGGCTTCCTCCAGATCGTCCCGAGAGAGGGCCAGTCGTCCCCCAACAAGGACCCCCCTCCTCCTGCCCCTCCTCTCCCCCCGCCCCCTCAGACCCCCTTCAACCAATCAGAGTGTGACTTGCAAGACTTCTCCAGCCCCAACGGCCTATCGGCTACGTTACCCAGCGTCTTGCGGAGGATGCACGGTAACAGCTACATGTTGTTAAGACAGAGTGACGCGGAGAGCAGCTCTCCTCTCTGCTACTCCTTCACTGAGGAACTCAACAGGATCCTGGAGAAGAGGAAGCACATGCAGCTGCTGCCAAAACCAGACGAGAGCTCTCTGTAGTAGAGGGAATATCTCTCTGTGTCAGGGAGGTAGCTCCCCCTGTGGTGGGAGGACTGAACAGGACCCATTTAATATAGGCTATTTAGCAGACGCTTTTATCCAAAGCGACGTACATCAGTGAGTGGCCCATTGGTGGCCCAAAACAGAGTGCTGTAGAGATCCTTTGTGGATGACTCATGCTCCTCACGGAGTAAAACGGGTTTAAACTAGCCTGGACTGAAAATATGAGAGAAGGAGATTGTTTTTTTGGACCACTGAAAAGGGACACACATCTGGTGAGTCTCTTGCAGGTGGGTTGGAATATCAACTGTGTTTCAAAAGAAACGATTTCTGCACACTATTCGACCTTCCTAGGAGCTATCCTCCCGCCAGCTCAGCAGAGCTCAGCAGGCTAGACCTGACCCAGCTCCAGTCAATACACCTCCGTCTGGATCAATATAAGACGAGCCCTGGAGGGGGTGATTCAGGGGGCAGGCCTCAGATCTCAGCCCCAGATTAAGAGTCCTCGCTGAGCAGGACACGAGGGGCGGGGACCCTGGAAGTCTCAACACAGCCCATGGTAACAAGGAAGAAGAGGAGGAAGAAGAAGAGGCTCATGGGAATATGAGTTCTTGTGAAGTGTGAAACTGACCTTGACTTGACTTATGTTTTCAAATGGATGCAGCTGTCCAAAGGAGGGACAAGATGGGTTTTAAGATGGTGTGCACTACACCTTTTTAGCAGGTTTCATATTGGACATTGAGGGGAAAAGTGGATTTGTTTTTATTCTTGAAGTTTGTAAATTATGTTAATATTGATTACAATAGTAACACAAACTGTAATAATCAAATTCAAGTAATATTATTAACACATAGCAACTCTTAACCCAAGAGAGAGTTTGTAATCCAATGAAAATACCCTTTGAACATTATTTTTGTGTAATAGGAAATTGGACAGTATTAACCGTTTTGATGCTATTTAAATGCCATTTCCTTCAGACATTCCCTGGTTATTATGTACTCAACTCAATGGACACTACAAACACATCAGAACTATGAGAGATTCAACCCCATCACACCATGTCAAGAGACAACCCCATCTGAGTAGGAGCTAATGGATTAGCAGCATCCCTACACTGCTGACTCTCTCGCTCCTATCCAACTCCAACCTAATGGGTCTGAACTCTACCACGACATCACAGCTCGGCCACAGAGGACCAGACATCACTTCTGGGTCATGGCCATAACAACCCTTACACCTGAGGTAACCAGACTAAGTGGTATGTTATTCTGCAGTGGTAGGGTTCTACTAGAAAGGGACAGTAATGAGGGAATAGGACGTCAGAGAGGAACTCTGTAGGGTTAGCCTAGAGGTGGTTAGTAGAGGGTAGGGTAGAGAGGGAGGGTAGAGGTAGAGAGGAGAGGGTAGGAAGGGTAGGGTAGAGAGGGTAGGGTAGAGAGGGTAGGTGAGAGGGTAGGGTAGAGAGGGTAGGTAGAGAGGGTAGGGTAGAGAGGGTAGGTAGAGAGGTAGGGTAGAGGTAGGGAGGGGGTTTAGGGTAGAGAGGGTTAGGTAGAGAGGGTAGGGTAGAGAGGGTAGGGTAGAGGAGGTAGGGTAGGGGGTAGGAGGGTAGTGAGAGGGTAGGGTAGAGGTGGAGAGAGGGTAGGTAGAGAGGGTGGAGAGGGGTAGAGTAGAGAGGGAGAGGGTAGGGTAGAGAGGGTAGGTAGAGAGGGGGGTGGTGGTAGGTAGGGTTAGGGGGGTAGGTAGGAGGAGGGTAGGGTAGAGAGGGTAGGTAGAGAGGGTAGGGAGTTAGAGGGGTGTAGGGGGGGAGTGAGGGTAGGGGTAGAGGGGTAGGGTAGAGAGGAGAGGGGGTAGGGTAGAGAGGGTAGGTAGGTAGAGGGGTAGCGTGGGTAGAGTAGAGGGGGTAGGGTAGAGAGGGTAGGGTAGAGTGTAGAATAGAGAGGGTAGAGTAGAGAGAGTAGAGTAGAGAGGGTAGATTTCAGTGAAGCAGAGTAAAAACATCAAGAGGCTGCAGGTACAGGGAACGGAGAGGAGATGAGACGATAATGTACACCATTCTCTGAATCTGATACTCCTCTCTGTCTCTCTCTCTCTTCTCGTCTTCTCTCTCTTCGTCTATCTCTCTCGTCTCTCTGCTCTTTCTCTCTCTCTCTCTCTCTCTCTTCTCTCTTCTCTCTCTCTCCTCTCTCTCTCTCTCCTCTTTTTTTCTTTCTTCATCATTCCTCCCGCTCCCTCATCTCTTGTCTTTCCTCCCTTGCTTTTTTTTCCTCAACTATTTTCTCCATGTCAGTGGCTATGTTTCCATTAACTTGACCAGTGACATTTAGAAAGTTCGCATTGAAAATAGATGTGACAATTGCCTGCTAGGGTGTGTTTCCATTCAACCATCTTGTGTTGATAAAAACAGCTGGACATAATGACATCACACCTAAAAAAACAAATGTAGTGGTTGAAGTATTTCCATTACCCATTTAGGCAAATTATGCATTAATAAATTGGCGACAGCCTGTGTGCCCTCCCACCAACACTATTCATACAAAAGTATGTGGACACCCCTTCAAATTAGGTGGATTCAGCTATTTCAGCTACACCCGTTGCTGACAGGTGTATAAAATCGAGCACACAGCCATGCAATCTCCATAGACAAACTTAGTCAGTAGAATTGCCTTGCTGAAGAGCTCAGTGACTTTTAACGTAGCACCGTCATAGGATGCCACCTTTTCAACAAGTCAGTTCGTCAAATTTCTGCCCTGCTAGAGCTGCCGCGGTCATGTAAGTGCTGTTATTGTGAAGTGGAAACGTCTAAGAGCAACAATGGCTCAGCCGCGAAGTGGTAGGCCACACAAGCTCACAGAACGGGACCGCTGAATGCTGAAGTGCATAGCGTGTAAAAATCGTCTTCCCTCGGTTGCAACACTCCCTACCAAATTCCAAACTGCAATGTCAGCACAAGAACTCTTCATCGGGAGCTTCATGAAATGGGTTTCCATGGCCGAGCAGCCACACACAAGCCTAAGATCACCATGCACATGGCAAATGTCGGCTGGAGTGGTGTAAAGCTCGCCACCATTGGACTCTGGAGCAGTGGAAATGCGTTCTCTGGAGTGATGAATCACGTGTCACCATCTGGCAGTCCGGTGGACTAATCTGGGTTTGGTGGATGCCAGGAGAAATCTACCTGCCCCAATGCATAGTGCCAACTGTAAAGTTTGGTGGAGGAGGAATAATGGTCTGGGGCTGTTTTTCATGGTTCGGGCTAGGCCCCATTCTAGACGATTCTGTGCTTCCAACTTTGTGGCAACAGTTTGGGGAAGGCCCTTTTCTGTTTCAGCATGACAATGCCCTCGTGCACAAAGCAAGGTCCATATAGAAATGGTTTGTCGAGATCAGTGTGGAAGAACTTGACTGGCCTGCACAGAGCCCTGACCTCGACCCCATCGAACACCTTTAGGATGAATTGGAATGCCGACTGTGAGCCAGGCCTAATCGCCCAACATCAGTGCCCGACCTCACTAATGCTCTTGTGGCTGAATGGAAGCAAGTCCCCACAGCAATGTTCCAACATCTAGTGGAAAGCCTTCCCAGAAGAATGGAGGCTGTTATAGCAGCAAAGGGGGGACCAACTCCATATTAATGCCCAGGATTTTAGAATGAGATGTTCAATGGACAGGTCTCCACATACTTTTGGTCATGTAGTGTGTCTGTTTCATGTCTCCGGTAGCCCACGAAAGTCAGCATGTATAGAATGCAATAATTTACTAATATTTCCCATATTCTAATAATTATCATGTGCCAACGTATCGCCACGGTCCGTGCCATGGTGAAACTTGAACTCCTGTAGATCTGAAATAATTGGATGGTGAAACTTGTCAGCCAACCAGAAAAGCAAGGCGAAGCAATTCAGGCATTCTTGACAGTCAGGACAATCCTTGTCCTGCAAATAAATAAATACATTTAATTTAATTAATTTTATAGTTTAAAAAATTGATTTTGCAAGCAGTTGTCATGCCCTGGCCTTGAGAGGCCGGTTGTCTTTAGTTGGTTTGGTCAGGGCGTGAGAATCTATGCTAGAAATTCTATGTTTATTTCAATATGATTGAAAACACCTATAGCCTTTTTTTTATGCACTCATCTCAGTTTTCATTTGAATCAATTTTTTATACGTTGCTTGTTTGTATCAATTGCAAAGATATTGGCAAATTCGTATTTGTAGTCAACTTTTGTTCTGAAGTTATCAGCCTCACAGAGAAAACCGCTCGACTATTTAACGATGCTCCTACAAAGGTTCTAACGATGAACTTAGCCTTAAGATGCTTTTGGTAAACCAGGCCCAGGACAGGTCTGTGATTTAAGTCTATGATGTGGGCTGGAGAAGCAGTGAATTGAATGTTGCAGTAAATTCTAAATAGCTATAGATGGTTGGAGACCAAACCTCACCCCACTGGGCAGAAACTGGTTGAATCAACGTTGTTTCCACGTCATTTCATGTGATGACGTTGAATCAACGTGAAAAACTGATTGGATTTGCAAAAAGAGAATTTCGTATTTTTTTTAACCAAACTTTTAAACTAAATTCAATGACATGTTCAGTTTTTTTGTTGATTTCACATTGAATTCACGTTAATTAACAACTCAACCAAATGTAAATGAAAACTAGACGTTGAAGTGACGTCTGTGGCCAGTGTGACAGGACCATGGCATTGATAAAGGACATGAAGGAGAAACAAACCAACACAAGCCATTAGAGAAGCCTTCATTAAGCCCTGTTCAAATAGTCTTTAAATATAGTGAGTGATGAGACAAGATGACAGTTATTTATTTACTTAGGTAGGCTATACTCCCAAGGGGAACATTTTAAATCAGGGTTTGGGATCTACAAATGATGTGAGGATATGTTTGAAGAGCTATGGACAGCTTTTATATACATACCACACACACCACACACACACAGGGACAGCTCTGATGCTATCTATAGCACTGTGCTAGCTTTCATCTATTTTAGT